TGGGGCCCGCGGCTGGGCGCTGTCCCTCGGTAGTGAGGCGCACAGCCGTGGCGCCCCGCAAAGCGTCGGGGGCTTGCCTTGGGCCCGGGTCGTCGGGCCTCTGGGAAGATTCCGGATTCCCGCGAGCTGAGCTGGAGCCTGCTGCCCCAATCCCGGCCGGAGAAATCTGAGCAGTAGACAGACTGTTCCCACGTCTTCCCCATGTTACTTCCCAGCGCCGCCTCGGTTTCAGGCGCTGGGCCGAGCAAGTTCAGCCTTGTGTAGACAGCGCACCGCCGACACCGACCCTCCAGACACTGCGTCTTGCAGATGCGCCCTTAGGCCCTTGCAGGAATCCACCACCTCCAGCCTGTGGGGAAGGCGCCTAGAGCTAGGAGCTGTGGTTGGAAGGAGGCTGGTCCTCAGCTGGGTCCCTGCACACACGCCCCTCGAAGGCCAAGGCCAGACCAGGCTGAAGACAGGCCTCAGGCTCGGGGCCAGCAGGCAGTGAACCTCCTCTGTGCTCATCCACTGGCCGGTGGGCAACCTTGAGGTGTGAGGACTCCTCCCTTTTCCAGCGCTCACCCTCTGAATTTTGGGTGTGGCCTGGTGTAGATGCTCCTGAAAGCACTGGTGCTGCCTCAGGTGCCAGGACCTGTGGAGCCACAGAGGCCACGTGGGTGAGGGAGAGCGATCCCCAAAAGTACAAACTATAAACTCTTGTCAGGATCCAGGAGAACAGCACCGTTACTCAATTCCAGGAAGGCACCTCCAGCATCTCAGGGGCAGGGAGCCTGCATAGGGAATTGGCCTGGCCCAGTCTGACCTGGGCATCGTGGCCTCAACATGGCTGAGGAGTCAGCTGTGGTCCCAATTTCACAGCTGAGAGTGAAGCCTAGAATCTGTCCACACCACTTCCCAGGGCAGGACTGTGACTAAACTGGTGAACGTAAATTACTGTAACAGTCTAGAAAGGGCAATTCGGTACTAATATCCACACAAAACAACAACAGAGATACTCATAACCAGTGATTTTTCTTTTAGGTATTGGGGATTGAACCCTTCACACTGAGGTACACCCTCGCGCCCCTCCCTGCTTTTGTTACAAGGGATCGAACTCAGGACCTTGCTTTTGTGAGGCAGGCACAGCGCCACTGAGCTAAATCCCTGGCTTGATACTATGTTTTTGAGTATGAGGTTGGTATTTATGACTTTCAGAAAACTAGAAAGACCGACTGGTTAGTCTGTGGGTCCTTAGATCCTCAAGCCAGTATTTATTGCTGCATAATAAAATGAAAAGTTGGGTTCCCATGCCCAACAGCTCTTGGCATCCTACTTACTGCTCTGTTTTCTACCCATGCTGATGATGGGGAGTTTTCCACTGAGTGCATCATATAGTGCAAAAGAGATGTAGTTCATATTTATAGATAAGTGAAGGAAGTGTGTATAAAACCTAATTTTCCTGAGATTGATTTCGTTTGTTTTTTGACACAGGTTCTTACTATATAGTTGAGACTGACCTTGAACTCACTATGTAGCCCAGGGTGGTCTCGAACTCACAGTTCCTCCTGCCTCAGCCTCCCAACTGCTGGGATTACAGAGGTGCGGCACCATGCCCAGCTTCCTGAGAGTGATTTTGTGAGAGTTAAAATGAACTGCTGGGGAGCCAGGTGTGCTGGCATTTGTCTATAATCCCAGCATTCAGGGAGGCTGAGGCAGGAGGACTGTAAATTCAAGCCCAGACTGGTCAATTCAAGAAGACCCTGTCTCAAAATAAAAACGTGCCTTTTTTAGAAAAAGGATGGAGCCAGGTGTGGTGGAGCATGCTTGTAGTTCCATCACTCGGGAGGCTGAGGAAGGAGGATCACCTCCAGTTTGATGCCGGCCTGGGCTACATAGCGAATTCAAGACCAGCCTGAACTACATAGCAAGATCCTGTCTTTAAAAAAAGAAAAGAAGAGAGAGCGCTGGAGGTTTAGGTCAGCAGTGCAGCGCTGGGTTCAGGGGTGAGGGGAGAAAAGAAAAGAAAGAAAAAGGATGGAGATATATCTGTGTGAAGTGCCTGCATTTAATCTCCAGTACCAGAACCAGAAACACTGAACTGTTGAGTCTGGGAAGGTAGCTCAATGGCCTACCGTGGATGAGGCCCTGGGTTTATCCCCAACACCACAAGAGTGAAAAGGAAAGACTGTTGGCAGATTCCTGAAGTGCAAAGCCTGAGAACCTTTTTTGCATTGTGCATTCTATTAAATTTTTGCTCCCAATCTTTCCAAGTTTTATAGTCATCACTGTTGCTAGATTTAAACATTTTTGTTTTGTTTTTTTGAGACAGGGTCTCACTATGTAGTTGAGACTGACCTGGAGCTATGTAGCCCAGGCTGGTATCGAACTCACAGTGATCCTCCTGCCTCAGCCTCCTGAGTGCTGGGATTACAGGTGTGCGCCACCACGCCCGGCTAGATTTAAACATTTTAAAGTGGGCATTAGTGAGAGAGACTTAGAAAATCTCCTAGGATGTTCCTTCACCAGAGATAAAAGTTATCTTCAAATATAAGCAAACTACATGGAAGCACTGTATAACCCTATACATAGTTCAACTTAATTTATTTTTTTATTTTTTTAGTGAAAGCAGTTAAAATTTCTCAATTAAGCTTTTGGCCAGAATGTTTTGAATTGGATGCAGGGGAAAGGGGAATGTTCTTTCTATGAGCAGAATGCAAATAATGTATCCCCAGTCTGAAAATACTTCTCTAAATATATCCTCCCTCAAAACAGTCAAATGTAGATTTTGGACTGCAAGAGCACTGCACTCCTCACATCTACAAGCCACAATGATTAGAAACATCTGCATTTTTTTCTCCCCTGACTTCTTTGGATTTATGGGTGTGTGTGTGTTAAGAGATTGAACTTGGGACCTTACGTGTACTAGGCAGGGCTCTCTACCACTGAGCTATATCCCCCTTCTTTCTTTCCTTTTTTTAATGTTTTTTATTTTGAGACACCATCTCGTGAGAATGCCCATGCTGGCCTTGAATTTGTAATCCCCTGGCCTCAGCCTCCAAGTAGCTGAGATTACAGGTGTGCACTACCAAACACTCAGCTTTTAACTTAGTATTTCTGTGTATGTTACAAGAGGCTAGTTAAATGGCGTTAATTAGCACGTTTCTGGGCTGCAGGAAAAGACCACTTCCAACATGCGCCATTGATGGGCAACCTTCAGGGACAACACATATGTTATGAACCAAATGCCTCTGGGTAGCTTCTGAGTAGACTATTAGTCTACTGGGGACAATTTGATGTCAGTTTCCTAGAGGTTCAGTGGCTGGGGATGGTACACACACCTATAATCCCAGCACTCAAGAGGCTGAAGCAGGAGGAATTCTGTGAGTTCAAGGCTAGCCTGGACTACCTAGTGAGAACCTGTCTCAAAAAGATAAGAGTATGTATAGCCGTCTATTTTCTAGAAGCTCAAGTCAAAAAGAATCTTTCCTAAGTCCCAACCTAGCAGAGAGACAGGTGAAATTGATTTCATCACTTAACTTCCCATTCCAACTTAAGCTTTTAATAAACTTGATGGCCTTTCAACATGAATCATAGGATACACTCAAACCTTTGGAAAAGTCACATAGTTGAGCTGGGCACAGCTGCATACACCTGTATTCCAAGCTACCTAGAAAACTGAGGAGCTGGGGATTTAGCTCAGCACCATAGTGCCTGACTGGGAAGCGCAAAGTCCTGAGTTCCATCCTTGGTGACGGTGACGAGAAAAAAAAAAAAAGCCACGGTGGGAGGATCACTTGAGCCTAGTTTAGGACCAGCTTCAGCAACGTACTGACATGTTAGTCATTAAATGGAAAGTATAAATTGTATGTCATGTATACCTGTGTGTGTGTGTGTGTGTGTGTGTGTGCGTATGTGTGTGTGTGTGTGTATAATTTTCCATTCTTATTGTTGTCAAAGCTGGATAGTACAATCAACAATGTATATATCACTCGACCCTGGATACAACAGATGGTAATTTTGCTCTTTTTTCTCTCCATACTATATATTTTTTTAAAGTTATAGGGTATCCGCTGTGTATGGTGCCACATACCTGTAATCCCAGCACTTGGGAGGCTGAGGCAGGAAAATCAGTGTGAGTCTGAGGCCAGCCTGGGATACATAATGAGTTCAAGGCCAACCTGGACTACACAGTGAGATCCTGTGTCAAAAAAACAAAAAAGGTAGGGCTAGAGATTTAGGTCAGTAGTTCCGCCACCTGCTTCACAAGTGCAAGGTCCCGAGTTCAATCCCTGATACCCCCCACCAAAAAAAACCACTATAGGTATTATGAAGCTTCATCCCTAATATCCTGAAAATAACAATGGCCTAAACGAGGCATGGTGGTGCACACTTGTACTAGCAAAATTCTAGGATAGTAAGAGGCTAACAAGTTCAGCCAGGCTGGGCTACTTAGTGACTCAGTGAGACCTGGTCTCTAAAGACCTGAGAATGTAGCTCAGGGCAAAGGCTCAAAGGTTGAATCCCCAATACCACGAAAAAAATTTTTGACCTTTTTAACTCCAAGAGTATTGTCATCCCTAAGAAAGTAACTTTGTGTCTGTTTTAATGGTACTGGAATTAGAACCCAGAACTTTTGCACTGAGCTAGATTCCCAGGAACCCTCACTTTTTTTGGACACAAGTTCTTGCAGGGCCACAAAGTTGCCTAGGCTAAACTCAAATTTGGGATCTTTCTTGCCTCAGCCTCCCAAAGTGCTGGGATTATAGCTATGTGTCACCATGCTCAGCTTCAATTAACTTTTACATTTCCATTTTTCACAAGAATTGCTATGTTCATTTTGTAGAATTGGAATATCACTTTAGAATATTGCCACTTTATTAAGTTTCTTTTGATTTATAGTAATCACCATTTTATAAAATGCCAATGATTAGCCTGGTGTGGTGTGTTGTGCCTATAATCCCACTACTCTGGGAGGCTGAAGCTAAAGATTGAAAATACAAGGCCAGGGATTTATTAGCTCAGTAGTTCTACTGCCTGCCTCTCAAGCACAAGGTCCTAAATTAGATCCCCAGTACCAAAAAAAAAAGATTGAAAATACAGGTCCAGCCTGGGTAATTTAGTGAGGCCTTGTCTCAAAGTAAAAAGAACAGGGCTGGAAATGTAGCTCAATGTGAAGGCTGTGAGGGTTCAATCCCCAATATAGCAGAAAACAAAAAGCCAA